CTCAATATCCATAACCAAATTACTTAAGAAATGATCTTATAACAAAAGGTACGCCGGATTCCCGCTGTTTAATAAAGTGAGTTAAATTTTGAAGCTTAAGGTATTTTTTCTTAGATTCAGTGTAGCTATCTGTACTCATTATGTACATATTTATATTATAACAGTATGAAGATAACTTCTTAAAAAGCCTTGGGATTACTAAAAACTTACTCACCTTTAAAGTGTATTAAGAATCGTCAGATTTCAGGATGGAACTGTTAGATTTAACATTTTACTTTAGCATTATTAAAAAAAAAAGAAAATAGCAAATACGAACTTTGACCTACATGCGATTTGAGTTTTAAAAGAAATTGCACGCATAAGGCTGTTTTTCTACAATGGTTTCAAGAAATTTTTACACATTATTTTGGTAAAAAAATTGTATAATTTAAAACATTTAAAGATATATGACTATTCAGGCTCAATATTTAGTATTTTTTTCTGATTGATATTTTTACTAAAAATATCTGCATAAAGGTACAAAAAATAGTTAATTGAAATTGACATGAAAATTCACTGCATGTTGCTTAAAAATATGCATCGACACAAATTAACTACTTTTCAACTACGTATGATTATTTCTAATATTTAAACACCCGTTTCAGTGATTGTTTTTTTCTGAAAATCTTTACAAAAAACATTAAACACAAAATAATTGAAATTAACATGAAAATTCAAAATTCAAAAAGAATAAGACACTTTTACGAGTGGACATATACATACATACATACTTATGTCACGGAATGCATGACGCTTCTAAAATTTGACCACCCGTTTCTATAGTATTATATGCAAAAGAATAAACTTTTCTATAAGTAATGATTTTATCACTATATTTGTAATATCGTAAACTTTGAATTACAATTAGTGTAACGTTAACACAAAGCTTCTGTTGAACGTTAGATAAGCACAAACACAATAAACCTGTAATAACTACCATTTACTTTCGCCGTACCTCGGAGTTATTTCTGCTAAATTGCGCTGCAGTTTTATAATCTCGCTAAAGTTTCAATACCCGTCTGCGATTAGATCGTACACATATTAATGTGAAAAGTAAATTACCATCACGGTAAGGTGTGGTAAGTAAATCATGAGGAATTACCGCTTTTGTCCTTTGCCGATCATTATTATGGCTAGTGGTGGAAGATGCAATTACACTATATGAAAAACGGCTCGAACGGTACCTAATTACATTGCTATCAACTAAGTTTCAAAATCTGAGGCAGATCAAATATCTTTTGTAAAGTAAATGTGACTTACCTTGTCAATACTCCTGTCTTCAGAACCCTTTTGGCATGGTAAACGAGCAGAGCGGTCACCTGATGAAATGACTACCGTCACCTATGGACTCCTGCTGCAGTCGCAAATGCCTGACCGCCCTTTAATTGAAAACACACACTGGACTCTAATAGCTTAATGTATTTTTTTACATAATGTTCAACTTTACAATACATTGTTTATGAATTTTAGCTTTATGCACTTTTCTATGCATATAAACATTAAACATTTTAAATTATGAATAAATTATTCAGACGTCTGAACTTATTTCGTTAAAATGATAAAAAGCTCATTATTTGTCACTTAAACTGTTGGAAATTGGCTATTTCACGTTTATGATAAATAGAAACGTAGAACACCAACCAAATTTGATGTAATGCTATGATTACGCTCTGATGGAAATAATAATTAAAGTCCCTTTTTCAAGATGACTGCTTTGAAATTCACAAAACTCGAGAAGCAATTTTATTGTTATACGCTTCACCGCTTTACAGCGGAACCACGAGATGTTATGTCATACTCTCCTGTCAGTTAATAATAACACGTTCAAGTTATAAGCTTTGACGATTAAGTGTTTAACAATCAGGCGGCAAGGAAAACACAACAACTAGACCAAATAATTTTTTCTTCTAAAAATGACAACAGATAATGAGCGAAGGACTCTTAAAGGAATAACAATGAGGTTCTCTCAATGTAAGTTACGCTTTATTTGTATTTTTTTTAACACTAATAAATGTTTATTTTTGGCACATAGAATTACTAAACTCGTCGGTAACATTGTGTTACAGTGATTCCGCACGTAAGCTGCATTTATATATATATTCAGCTGCATTTATAGAATATTTTTGTATATTCATAATGTTATTCGAATTTCAGCAGTTTCGTCGGTTCTGCTTATCTCTTTGGCGATGAAAACACTCCCATGAAATATACCATAGCAAGTAAAGTGAAATCCTACCTACAGAGACTGTTCTGTTCTGTACTCGCTCAGAACTTTTTGGGTAATTTATTCTAGGTGAAAGCACTTCTGTGAAATTTACTGTACCGTGACGAACTTTATCGTTACAGAATCCGTCCTGCTCGAAGTGGAAGCAAGTTTGATTGTGGGGTATTATCATATCACTTTCGCCGTAAATATTGTATTGTGTTGATGCACTTCATCAAAGTGTAGTTATATGTTACATAAAACATTGAAAACGTAAATTTCTTATGAACTTGAGGAAGAGTTGACTCTTCACCGATATTTTCAGAAATATTTTTTGTCAAAACTCGTTCACACACCATATTCTTCATAAACGCGCTTTTTTCAAATGAAATGAAAATATTTTCGTAAATAATAATCTCTGCCAATGGTCCAAACACAAACTCACAAAACAGATTTAAAAAAATTAAAACATATTCAGCCTTATCTATATCGCGAAATTCGTACTTTCTTTTTGATGATGCACCTGAGGCTCTCCATGTGGTTTAAATAGGTTTGAGAACGACAAAAGAAAACGGAAATTCTGTTACGACCCCTCTGGCTTAGCAGTCAGATCACTAACCACTAGATCAAGAACCATCCATAAATGTAGCATTGATGATGACGACTAAACTTTTTTTTTAATGCTGCAATACATTTAGTACATACTTAACTACAAAATTGCTCTTTAAAATATATAGTAGATATACGAGTAGCTAGCTAACAAACAATTCGTTTGTGTTTTGTGCCAACTAATACAACACTAGCCTAGTTTATTTAGATGGAATTGTTGTTTCTTTGGCACTATTCACGAAGTAATTTATTCACGGATCACCCAAGATCAACACTCATAAGCTCCTCACAAACACAAATGCGTTAATTATCACTGCAACGTTATGCAATCAAAACGTGTGACAAAACAAAAATCAAAACAAATGAAACACTGTTATTAATAAATACATGATAAAAAGTGCATCAAAACACTTCCAAACATCTATAATATATACATAACATAGTATCATAACATAACATAGTATCTATAATACATACATCTATAATATAGATGTTTGGAAGTGTGGATTATTTAAGAATGTTAGGTGGTCCCATATTATGGAACCACCTAACATTCTTAAATAATCCAGAGAAAGTGGATTCAGTGTTCGGTACGATTTTTTCACTGTGCTCAGAGGGGCTGTGTACAAAGAAAAATAATAAATTAAAAGATCTCAGCTACCCACCACACGTTACTTGGCACTCAGTTGTCATAAAAATAAAGAATTCGCTGTTGTAAAGGATTTTAGTACAATGTTGTTCCATAATCTTGAAGTAACTAGTAATTTCGGATCGACCTGGAATTTTTAAGGTTCTCTCCTTCTATTTCCATTTTGTTCAAACTAAAACTATCTTTATTGCATAAAGTTTTTAAAATTATTTGAAATTTTCACTTGTGCAGACACACAATGGCAACAATCTCTGTTATGTCAAAAGTTTAGCAATATAAATATATACGTATCGAAAATCTCTTATATGCCTGTGCCAATTTGCAGCCGCCCATTTCCAAGGGGTTGAGCCTCATGAGAAAAAAGGGCAAACAAACTCACGGCCACTCCTTTTTAATTAACAGGTACATACAATGGCATCATTAAATATACACAACATTGTTTTGATGTGTGCCAGTGTGTAATGTAAGTTTTAAGGACTAAAAGGTAAAAAGGCAATGAAAAGAAAACAAGATATAGATGAAACAAGACGGAATAAAAGAGAAAGTGAAGTAAAACATTAAAAAAATGGAAAATTAAATAAAAGAATCACATTTCCATTAAAAAATAGTCTGTCCTAAATTAATCACAAGCATTCTTGTCTTCTATGTAATCCACAATTAAGTAACAGTTTTCTGACATAGTTTACGTTTTATTGTGGATTTAAATTTCTTTTTACTAAAATGTTGTATGCTATTTAGGATTTTATTATAGAATCGGACACATTGACCTCGAAATGACTGGTTTATCTTTCATAACCTAATGTTTCGAAATTCTAAGTGAGAGCATTCACATTGACTTCAAACAGACATCCTGTCTATTTACTTTTACCATTTGTGAAGAGTTATTCTAGTGAATAATGACCTTAATGACACTTGACTATACTTAGAAGTTGGCGCGTTTATGTAAATTTATACTGTACTACAAATTACCTGGCGGTAGAATTTCGGGCTTTCTGAAAGGCTTGTTAAAATTCTGTGATCTATTATCGTATATACTTCTGCGGTATGACAGGTCAAAATATATACTAGACCCATAGCTATACGTCCAGCATAGATACATATAGCCAAAGTTTCCTTATTCATAGCTTTATGTAGGTGTTTTACAAAATATTTAACTTTTAACACGTCACTTTGTTTAAGTTATGCTTTTTGCACTTCTTTAGGTTTCCTGTCGGATATATTTGCTTGAAAAAATAAGCACATACAATTATCTTCACTAAATATATGTACATATATTAATATTGTACATAAACTGTCGAAAAGTAAATAAATTAAATTTTGAAATAGAAAAACGGGTCTTAAAAACATATGGTCAAGTGTACAAACTTTAACTTAATCAAAAGATTGTTTTGGATTTTTAATCACTTTATACAACTTTTACAAACGTAACACTTTATTACAACTTACACAAAACTATAAACAACCACAAAGACAATTAGATACACGCATATAGTTTAGTTTTTACGCAACTGTAGGTAATAGCATTTGAATTAATACTGGTTGCAAGGACACTCCTCTAGAAGGATTGGAATCTCTAGTGACATTTTTTGTTCTATTTCTGGAGGCATTTACTGTACTTTCGAAATTTGTACTGCTATTATTAGGAATGGATTTACTTTTAAAGACTTCTCTTATTTCAGTGTCATTATTGTTGTTTTTAAAAAGATTTCTACTTGATCTAAAATGAGACTGGCCCTGTTGAGGAGATTCTGAAAGCTTTTTTTGAATTAGTTCTAACCTCAGTACCATATGATTAAATATATTTTGTAACATGGATCCATTTAAGTTCTGTTTCTCAGACACTTTAGAAGTAGATTCTAGATCATAAGTAATATTATCTCTGATTTGTCCGTCTATTCTTTCTGAAACTTTTGTCAACTTCTGCTTTCGTATGTTGTTAGGATCGTAGGAACCATCAACTTCATATGTGGCTGAGGGACTTGTAAAAATGTTATGTTGATTTAATTTAGACTCGCTACTTCGGTCTTCATCTGTCATTTTGAGAGGTATATCATATGGCTCGTCATTTTTGTGCTCGTATTTATTATCGTAATTGATACTTCTACGTTTTCGCACTGGTAGTCCTTTTAAATCATAGTCATAATCTTCGTCAGATGGTTTATGTTTCCTGAAAGTGATAACACAATTATTTTTTCGATTGCTTATGCATTGATTGATTATTATGTAGCAAGTGAATAGTGTTGAGTTACATCTAATCGAAAATATTTTTGTTTGTATTTTTTGTTTTACTTTTTAACTGTACGTGCACCTAGCAATTTTTGTAAAACATTTTATTTTGATGGCATCAGTCCACTGCTGGACACAGGCCTCTCCTTATAAAGGAGGTTTTGGCCTACTATACCACGCTTGCCAGACGGGTTGGTATAGGGTTTGTTTCAAGTTTTCCTTCTCTTTGCAGTGCTGTTGTCCTGCGTAGTTTTCTCCCTTAGTCGGCTCTTACTACACCCACGGGATGAATAGGGGTGGTGACATTCCGTATTCTTAATCCGTCACCACACATAATTTCAGTATATCCAGTGAACTAAAGTAAATAAGGTGAATCTTAGCACATTGTACCTTTATTGTAATTCATTCAGCCGTCTAGTAGTTAAAAGGGAACATATAAACTAACATACACACAATCACACAGGTCAAACATAACAGCAGTTGATTAAAATATGTATTAATAACGTGAATATATATGAAGATTAACTTACTTTACTGGTCTATTGTTCTCTGCCATTAATTTCTCTTTAAATGAAAGAACTTTAGGGTCTTTTGTAAAAGAAGAAATTTCATTATCGCCAGTAGGCCTTGTAGTAAACAGTGTGATCGGGTTATGTTTTGTTAGATAGATAGCACCTGCTCCTATTGTTGACGTAGTAGGTGTAGGTCTAACAGGTCCTGCATTATATGTTATCGGCGAAGGGAATGTCAAATGTTCGGGTTCTATTCCAAACTCTTTAAATTTTCTTTCATAGCTCTTTTGTCTCAATGGACCCATCCAATTTATATCTTCACCTATACTTCGATCGGGCACAGCAAGTCTGGCGGGATTCATTGTTGGACTGACATTATTATCACCTTGCATTCGCCTGAAAGCTAGTAATTGTTGATCTGTTGGAACCACATGACTGGCGCGTTCAACTTCGTTGAAAGGGTATGTTGGCTGTAAATAAAAGATAAGATAAGATTTCCACACCCCCCAAAGGTTGGCTGGTAGAGAATGCCTTGTACATTAAGCTCGCCGTTGTACATAAGTGCATAAAGATATAAATAAATTAAAAAATTATAATCTACATTTCCAGGTTTTTTTTTGTGATGAATTAGTTATTGGCTCGTAAAGTCTGCATGATATATAAAGAGACAGACTAATATTATAAAGGGACAAAGTTTGTGAGTTTGTATGTTCGGAGTTATCTCAGGAACTATTGTTTCGAATTGAAAAATTATTTTAGTGTTGGATAGTCCACACGGATATCCGTGTTGTAACGGATTAAGAATACAGAGTGTCACCACCCCTATTCATTGCATGGGTGTCGTAAGAACCGACTAAGGGAGCAAACTACGCAGGACAACAGTACTGCAATGAGAAGGAAAACTTGATCAACCCGTCCGGCCAGCGTGGTATAGTAGGCCAAAACCTCCTTTCTAAGAAGAGGCATATGTCCAGCAGTGGACTATTAGAGGCTGTTGATGTGATGTGATAGTCCATTTATTGAGGAAGGATATAAGCTATATAATATTACGCTACGACCAATAGAAGCCAAGTAAGCGTTAACACAATGTTACATTATGCCTAAAGAATGAAAAAAAATATTAATAAAATTAATTAAACTTATATTTATGAAAACTAGGACTAAAAATGAAAAAAAATATTAATAAAATTAATTTGAATGAAAGAGGCCTATGTCCAGCAGTAGATTATTAAAGGGTGATGATAATGTTGAATCGTTCTCTACAGTATGTTCCTAATTGTCGTAGGCTACAACCTTCCTCAAGACTACCGAGGCCTAGAAATACAAGCTGGCGTGTTTAGTAAAGCTAATCGAATCTTTAACATATTAGAATAGAACATTTTAAATGTTTTACCACAGGAGAATAAGTCGGTCCGCGAATGGTTTCGGCATACGCTCTTCTTGCATCAACCACAGATTGTATTGCTTTCAGCGAATCTAAGGTGTCTTTAGTATAACTTGATATTGCCTGAAAAAAAAAAAAATTTTATCTATATTGGCACTTCAATTATTAATAATATTGTATCTATCAAATATACCTAAATACACGCTTTTAAACAAAGTTATAAAACCATAAAGTTTACTAAATACGTAATGTTTAATGCTAATCTAAGCGATTGTAAAATGCAGTTAGTTATTCTTGTTTAAACGATAACCTCATCAGGAAAGAAAATGAGATTATTTAATCAACGAAACCAACGAATCGGACAAAAGACACGATGCGACATTTCACTTCGCTTGAAAACTTTTACATATCAATTTCCTCCCTTTAAAACTACATCTTAAGATTGCTTATAGTTGAAATTCATTGTAATTATAGTTTCTTATTGTTTCATATCACCGTTGTACGTAATATATATATCGTTTCATATACGTAATATTTCCGTACAACGATTATCCAGTATTGTTCTCTCAGGTAATAAATAACAAAATGAATCTCTCGGTGCATCAGGCTATCGTTTATTTATATACGAGTATTGTATAGTGCGCGGATTAGAGAATAATACAAGTATCGTGTATGGAATAAAAATTAAATGCTTGAACTGATTCAGTTATTTTATTACATGTGTATGGTTTGGCTCAATAACTAGTTATTAGAATACTTAATTGTGTTGGTAGTAAGGGCTGCAAAAGAAAAGTCAGTTTGAAGAATAAAAAAATGCGCAATAAAAAGACGATCAAAATGAGAATCCTGATTGGTTAAATAAGTTTTTTTGCAAATTGCAAAATACCGCGTTTTTTACCATTTAAAAAAATTATAACTTTCGTTCTAATCAATATTAAGACCCCAAATTTGGTAAGAATGTGGGTTTTGTAGCATCCAGTTAGGCCACAAGCAAGCAGATCGGCATTAAACTTTATACGAAACTTTAAAAACCGAAAAAGGCCTTCGGGAGAATGGCTCTTAAAAATTTTTGGGACAACTTTGAATGAATTTTTAATACCGCTTTGGTTCGTCGAGACTTCCTCTACAACGTGTTAAAATGCCATTTTATTCAGTTAAGTAGAAATACTGAAAAATTTACAACAATCGCAAAGTTGTCATTTTTTCAACAATGTTCAGACGAACGGATCAACATTGGAGTGAAATAAATTATTTTATTTATTTATTTATTAAATTAATCGTAACATTGTCAACTAACAGATAAAAAATTGTAGGTTATCAAATTTTACAATTTTTTGACCCATATTCTGCTAATTCTATCCGACTATGTTTGCATCTAAAGGGCTAGAGGGCTAGAGGAAATTATATCAAATTAATGTTATACTAGATATCCTAAGTGAAAATCGAGTAATTATTAAGAAAACTGTAGGTGAATTTACGCTAGGTTCGCCTTCCAATCCGCCCTGATCTGACAGACAGCGAGCCTGTATATGCTGAATTCCATAATTATAATTAAAAATAGAAACACTTCAATTATTCATTAATTCAGACATTTAGATTTAAAAAAATCTAGTACCTTTCCCATTTCAGAGTCTTCTGTAATTAAATGTGGGGTAGTGCGCTCAAAAGGAGGCTTGGCCGTTAGCTTCATCAAGGAACCCTCATATTTGTACTGATCACCCCCATCGAATACAGAATCATCAAGCCTTCGGCCTGACCTAATGGTTGTCTCTTCATCGGGACCTTTATCTCCGGCACCCGATCTTCTGGCATTTAATCTTCCTTGGTTCTCTGAAAGGAACACAAAAACTTTATTGGCAGTATTCTATCTACGCAATTAAGAACATAAGAAAATCATCTTAGGCTTGACCGTAAGACACATAAATTTCGAAGAATGTGTATAAATAAAATATTCTTACGCTCATCATTAGCGCGTCTTAACTGCATATCGGCAATTTCGTCATCGAAGATACCACGTTTCAAGAATATAGAAACATTCGATTCTGGAAAGTAAAAGAAAAAATAAGTATTTGAAAGACAGTATGACACAGAAATAACAGAGGACAGAAACCGTTATGCCGCCCTGGCAAATCATAATATTTCATCATCATCAATCATCATCATCATAATATTTACTTTATAGTAATGATTCCCTGGTAATCTTCTGTGAGTTGCAAGATGATTGACAATGTCGGTCAAATAATGTATTATTATCTCGTCATCAAGGGAATCATCATAAAATAACATTATAAAATATAATGTAACAAAACATATGTTATGATCGACTCAGGCGCCGGAGGTCGCAGAACGACCTCCGTCCTCTATAAGCGCAGGCCTGGGGGTGACAGGTGAGGCCATCTGTCACCCTAGCAGAAGCAGGCCGGGGTGGCGGCGAGCGCGTTGCGAAGCGCGCTCGCTTCCAGGGAGCACAGGGAACATGGGGTTCCCACACGGGGGGGGGGGGGGTAATCTACAGACGAGTAGACGACCCCGTGCGCTTATAGAGGACGGAGGTCGTTCTGCGACCTCCGGCGCCTGAGTCGCCTGCGGTACCTGACCCGTTCCCGCAGAGCCTGGAGGGCCGGGAGAGTCTTAAACCTCTCCCGGTCCCGCAGAGTTCCACGCACTCTCGCTCCGCACGATAGCCGCAATTAGGCTATCGAGCGAGAGAACTCCCACTCCGATGGCCGCCACGAGGTCTCGCCTCTGCTCAACCCACGCCGGGCACTCTGCCAGCGTGTGGAGAGCCGTGTCCACGGTCTGGCCATCGCAGTGGTGGCACTCAGGCGTTGGCTCCTTGCGGATCAGACACAGGTGATCCCCGAAACATCCTTTCCCAGTGATCACCTGCGTCAGTCGGTATGAGAGGGTCCCGTGACGCCTCTCGAGCTAATCCTCCAATCCTCCATAACGGGTCTTATCGCCGCGATGACGGCGTGCCTGGCGCTCGGTTGCCCGAGTCGTTCCTTCCACTCCCCTATGATGACCTGGCGGAGTTGGGATTTCCGGTCATCGATTTCTCGAGTCTCGGGACACCGACCCAACTCCCGAGCCTCCTTGCGCCACTTATACAGAGCCGCAAGGGCTCTCGCCTCCAGGTCCCACGGTGGAGTTCCGGCCAGGAGGCTCGCCGCCTCAAAGAAGATCGTGCGGTATCTCCTTACGATCCTGATGGCCAGCACTCACTGCGGTCGTCGCAGTATCGCGACGTTGCTGGCCTTCAGGGCCCCCGCCCATACTGGGCACCCGTAAAGGGCCATGGACCGCACAACCCCCGAGTAGAGTCTCCTGCAGCAGTCATCGGGTCCCTTCATGTTGAGCAGCAGCCGCGCCAACGCACGCGAATGATTGCCACCCTATCCACCTGTGTATGTTGTTCTAAGATAAACGCAACCTATTTAAAAATGAATTAAATATCGGATGTAGATATCAGCAAACCTTTCAAATCGATGTACTCAGCAAGTGAGTAGTTATATCCTAAAGCAATACCCGCCATGGCTGAAATTACTAGTAAACAGCATACCGCCGAGCATATGCAACACGACATCAAAAATGTCCAAAATCTGAAAGATAATGCTGATTTATTATTAAATATAAATCGATTACGTTTCTTTCTTTTAGAAAATCGACTATTTACATTATTTCAGCCAAAGAGACAAACGCACGCTGTTGAGTAATGACTCTCCCAAAGTCTTTTACAACAAATGAACATGTGCCGCTTTCGTTCAGCAGTTATCTACCACTTTTACAACGTCGACAATTGGCATACTCTCATAGTTTACTTTCCAGTAACTTTTTTTTAAAGATAACTCCCGAATTAGGCTTGCACAGTAACGCAGGTCAGGAAATATAGAATGTTCATACAGTGAATACGTATACCTGTTTACGCTGAATTACTATTAAAGGCTTTCAGTTACTGTAACAGCGAGGTATATTTATGAATCAAAATTTTCGCGGTTGAATAGTGTATCGTAGTAAACGTGCGAGGCGCTTAATTGCTGAAACTATTGCCAAAGAAGGTCAGCAGTATATTGTATTACCACCATATAATTTCAAGAAAGTGAATATTCTCTTGAGTAATATTTTTAAACTTAGAATCACCAATAAATTATAACAATATCCAAAGAATTTGCGGAACTTTTTAATATCTGTGAATGGAATATATACCACCAACATAATTAAAAAACCCTAAACTTGGCTGTAACATTTTTGATGACAAATGTATTGATGCGAAAAGTAGAACCAAGTTATGAAATAGTATTTCAACAATGAAGTCCCTCATATTTTAATATTTATCTTTCATTCATAGTATCTTAAGTTCGAGCTTTAGTACTCTATCGTTAGGTTTTTTTTTAAATAATCCTTTTTAACGATAACAAGAAATAACTTATTTTACAATTTGTATTAGAAGGCTATTTTTAATCAAGAAAAAATGAGTACGATTTATTATTTAATTGAACATAGTTTTGTTCGATTCAACATATTTATGTTGAATCGAACAAAACTATGTTAAATTTAACTAGTTGTAAAGTAGAAAACTCGAAATAAATAGTTTTCATTTTTTCAAGAAGAACAAAAATTTAAAATAACGCATTTTTTTACATTTAGAAACATTTGTCCCTTACACGCTAAGGTGGAATACGGTCAACTATAAATAAGACGGACCTGGATGAAAAGTTAGATTTCCAGTGAGTTTCACACTTCCGTAACTCTCGATTTATTCACTTCACTAATTGCAACATAATAACTGAAAAAAGTTTCCAAACTGAACTACTATTTTTTATTAAAGAACACATTAGTCTCTTTCACGCGTCTTTTACCCAAAGTAAAGTTGTTTTAAATAGTTCTAAAAACTAATTGCATCTTTGTATACTTTTAACTAAGTCATTTAATAATATTATTTATTTTATTGTCTTTCCAAATTTTTCAAAAGGGCTTAAATAAATTAAACGTGTCATTTTACGCGCACTCTTTTAGATAATCACAACCATCTTTTTCGCGGTAGGACATCCTTTACTTTAATGTCTTTCAAGAAGACCTATTGGAAGACCCGCTTTCACCGTAGATCTGTGATTTTTATGCCACTTCTTTTATGTAATAGGCATATTAATCGTATTATTGCTAAATATAAAAACGACAACACTGATCACCATGAGAAAAATGTATGGTTATCAGTCAGTTGACCTTATTTTTATTCTTAAAAGGACTGAAAATAATGATCTACATGTAAATAAACATCTATAATTATTGCCGAACACCACTGAAAAGCATGTGCACTGAAAAGTAACAGGCTAGGCGTCTCGATCTTTGTTTACAATATTATCAGTTTTATAAAAGATGAATGGGATAAGTTAAATCTTTATAATAAACTTTTCATTATTAACATTTCATAAACATTATTTCTATAGTCCTTGTAGTGACAGATTAACTATACAGAGTGTCACCACCCATGCCGTGGGTATCGTAAGAGCCGACTAAGGAGAAACACTACGCAGAACAACAGCACTGCAAAGAGAAGGAAAACTTGACACAAACCCTATACCAACCCGTCTGGCTAGCGATGTATAGTAAGCCAAAACCTCCTTCTCTCCAAAAGTCGTAAGGAGTGGCCTATATTCAGCAGTGGACTATTAAGGAGTATTAGAGGCGTTGATGATGATGATTATTATTATTATTTATTGTAAACATAACATCATACCTTTGGATGAGATCTATCATCCAACCAAAACACGTGAAGATGCAACACATCTTGATAGATTATTGTAGACATCGATTTAACCCAAAACCTAAAAGAGTTAAAATTTAGTTAGCTAAATTTTTTATGATAAAAAAATATTTAGTATTTTTGATAATACGCCTGTTAAAAGTTTCCGGACAGTTCATAATCTACATAGATTGGTAAAAAAATTGCCATTTTCTGGTTTCCCAACACTTCTTCATTTGCTAGAATTATTGCCCCATTTTACTTTCAAATTGAAAAGGTCTAGAGGTTATTTATGAAAAGACAATTGCTACTATTACTCCTGGACTCTGATTTAAGAAGAAATTATAAGTTGTGAGTTTGAAGCAAACCTCAAAAGCAAATTTGTCCTTATTGAAAAAGTGAGTAAGAAGAAAAGAAAAAGAAGTCACGTTGACTTCTATGTATATCACGAGTATAAGCACTTCTTTGCCTATGTGGAAAGTAACCAATAGGATTACATTCAGGTGTAGCAAATTTTTCTTTACCTTACAATTTAGGACTGCGTAGGAAAGAGTCGACTTAAAAACTATCTCCACTCTCTCCTTGTCTCCATTATTTTATTTCTACTGCTCATAGCTGACGATTGCTATATTTTCGCTTTCTGAAAAATATTCACATTCCATCAATTTATCATTTTTAACTGTAACTATTTTAATAGTGACAACCATAGATAGTACATTAGGTGACAACTGAGAGTTATCATGTTAAAGAGGAGTCATCCTCAGAGTTTGCTACATAACAGTTCGTTGATACTCTATGGTTCTTCTTATAATAAAATAATTATTCCAGGCTAAAGAATTTTTGCGAATGCGAAAAAATGTGTGGTACTCATTCTTCTTTAAATTACTGTGACGAGTAAATCCTTTTTTTACGTGTGGAAACCCCCTCGGGCCGCACGCGTCGCCCTGCCGGGGTGACAGTATGTCGGGGTCGAACCAACTAAACCACACGGTGTGTCACTTTGCGCCGGAAAATAGAGGGATCCTGAAATGACGAGATTACCTACGTTAACTATCCATCATATTTGTCCACTAAGTTATAAAAAAATACTTTTGAACAATGCTTCATAAGTATGCGATTTATATTTTTTTAAATCTATAAATTTAAAATGTATTAAATAGGAAATAGGAAATAGTTTCGTCTCGTGAAGCTTTTTGCACTTGTTGCGGCCGGAAACAACGTGAAAAGGCGTGGCCTGGCACCGGATACACGGCCGACGTTATTTCCGTCGCACGTAAGACTTATTTAGTTAGAGTGTATGCTAATGAATATTATTGATTCTGTTAAAAGCTGTAGAATAACCTCTCGTCTATTCCGATACTATATTACCTTGTTCAGTTACTCAGTTTTAATCATGAATCTGAAACGTTTAATTCAAAACATATACTAATATAAGATTGTGAAAGAATGATTGAAATAACATTTAAAAACTTTAAAAACAATAAATATTTTAAAGTTTTTAGATTTTGCAACTTTCTGATTACCTAAAGACTATTGACTGTAAAAAGAACAATGACCTAATTATTATCTTTCTCTCGTCAGCCAGCATCAGCATCGTTGGTGTTGCTGGTGCACCTGGGTGCAGTAGGTGCTGTTGCAAGTGGCGCAACACTTTGCGGAGGAGGTGGAGCCTGTGCATGTAGCGCGCTTCTCCACGCACTTCACCCCCTGCAGTTATGGACCGTCTGTGGCCTGCACGCTGATAGAGCAGCGGCTATTGCTGCACCACTGCACTATGCTGCTCTAGTATCAGCTAAGAAGGTAAGTCCTCACAATAGAATATTTGAGATGTATTTTGAATCATCTGCATGTTTATTTCTTAAATATTCGTGAGACAACATCAGTTTTTAATTTGCAGGTGATGTTTTGCGTCGCGGGCGGTTGGGTGGCTACAGCAGCTCTTCTTGGCCCATTGGCTGCTGCTCAGCCACCACTGGCTTATAGCACTGGACTTGGTGGATGTGCGCCAGACTGCAGCGCTGGCCCCATAGCCCTCAGTTTCTGCCTGGTGTACGCGCTGATAACACTGGTAGTACCCGCCGCCCTCATACTTCTTTGTAGTTTAAAAATACTTCGCATCGCGCGGTACCACAGACATAGGATAGCAGCGGCAATTTACGAAGTGACGCTCAGTGCCCAAGTAACAGTCACTCACCAGAGAAATCCTTTCTCTCCTCCACCACCACCACGTCGACGCGCTCTCTCTGCAGTATTGCAGCCTCTAGGCTCTTTAGCCATTTTGTATTTTCCTTACTACTGCGTTTTAATATGGCCCGCAATAGCCGTTCCTCCGCAGTCCGTCGCTTCTATATCTGCAGCTTTATTAGCAGCTGCACCACCAGTTAACGGTATACTGTACGGCATCCGAAGTCGCGCACTCCGTGACTCTCTTCGCAACTATAGAAGAAAACGAATGACCAAAAGTGAAGTGACGCAAGAGATACAAGCAAGAACACCAAGTGCTTGTGGGTCACGAAGACCGTCACTATCTGCGGGTTCGGGATGTATACGACCTCCAACTACAAGACGGTTATCAGATGCAGCAGCTATGGGTTCGCGGGGATCAGAGCGACCGGCGCAACGTGCAGCATCATGTAATATGCTGCAGGATTCACAGGTGGAGGAGATACCAAGACCACGCACATCAGCCATTCCGATAATTCGTGCGCCCCCTCATGTGGTGCTTGGGCGAGCACTAGGGCTGGAGGAAATGGGACATCGAGACCGACGACGCAGACAGTCACCACGTATTATGGTGACGCGTGCCATGTCAGATGAAAGTGAATCACCAACACGAAGGCCTCTTTGCCGACAGCAGTCACGCTCGAGCGGAGCGCTGCTAGGTGGCGTGCCATACTCGCCCGCAATCTCCGAGCACGTGCATCTAGACAGCCACGCTGACGAGCAGCTCTTACTCAACTGGCCTCAAAACAATAATCACGAGAAACATGACGCTTTATAAAACGGGTTTTAAGCTTAGAGTAGTCGCTGAAATAGTGTACATTATGTAAAGACAATAAATTTCTGTGCGGTTCGAAGGTAAATCGATGTTTTGAAATGTTATTTTTTTATCGCTTGGTACATTTGTCTCTGTTCGACCTAACTGGCCGAGTGGTGACCAAATATAAAGATTTCCTATTACTATTTACAACTGTATCGTAGGCGTACGATTTCTCCTACAGGGTTCCTCCATATCGTTAGCTTTACCTACTGAAAGTATTACTTTAGTATATTGTAACATAATTTCTGAAATATTCCATAGATTTAGTGTGAAACGAGATTTGGTTGGTTATTGTTTCAGATAAAATTTAAGTTTAGAATAAATTATTTATTGTGTTCGATACACTTAGATGTTATAGAATTTGTAAGAAATGACTATTTATTTTGTGACTTACGTACAACTTAAGCCAAATATAATTTGATAGTCTGCTTATTGTTAACAAATCCACTTTATAGCATACTTGGGGCGACGTTAGTTCGCTAAAAAATACTATATAATATATTTGTATATATTATAGCATATTACAATGTAAAAGACAAAAATATTGATAATAATAAAGTAAATATAATATTTACCTCGGCACTTAGTAGGTAAAATGTGAGTACATACATCTGCCCTTTGCCCACATTTTCAAAGATGTTAAATATAAATTGGCAAGTTCAGTAATGAACTTGCCAATTTAAGCTTGAATTTTATGCTCTGGGTGTTTATTAGGAGATATAAAATGCTTGTAGAACTGCAAACCCGACTGAGCAATCGAACTTGGAGTATTTTGTACATACTTACTACTGTGGCCACTTTCGTTTCGCCATAAATAAAACAGGTTAAATTTTAAACGGCAGAAAATAGCATAGCAATTGTGTTCATTTTAGTACGTTGTTAATTAGTCAATCGTGTTTGCCATGTCGTGTCCGTGTGGTGACGGATTAACAATACGGAGTGTCTACCCTCCTATTCATGTCATGGGTGTCGTACGAGCCGACTTAGGCAGTAAACTACGCAGAACAAACCCTAGAAGGAAAACTTGAAACAAACCCTATACTAACCCGTCTGGCCAGTAGCCAGGAGAGGCCTGTGTCCAGCAGTGGACTGTTATAGGCTGTTGATGATTTTCCATACGTAGAAGCTGCCTTCTGGGAAGTAGTTGAAAGAAGTCTCTATATATAAAAGGTTAAGTTGGTTTGTGTACGCTTAAAAAACTTAAAAGTTCTGTACCTATTGAGCTGAAATTTTGACACGATTTACAACCCGTTTCAGAGATGGTTTTTATCTATTTATTGCAACGACAGTATGCCACAGTGAAGCGTGACGGGGTACAGCTAGTAGGTTATAATATCGAAATAGTCAGCTACCCTCACTATACTGATGACTTACACAAGTCATGACATTAAAGATACTGAACACAGATGATAATATTTAAACTAAATAGAACTCGCTAAACTACCGAAATAACATGTGCAATGTCCGACTTTTCAGATATTATTAAACGTGAGTAAAAAGCTTTTAGTTTAAAAAAGATAAATAGAAAAGAACCCCTGTTATGGCTATTTTTTAGTTTGAAAAAAAGGCCTGATATATTTGGTTGAATTTTAAACTTTGACTATTGATGATAGTCTCAAGTTCATTAAACTACTAGTACCTATGCGTGATAGGACATCAAAAACCGTTGTTCTAATTTTGTATAAAGGTAAACACCCCATATGAGATACAACAAAATATAATATAGGGATAAATATATAGTTTCGACAAAGTACACTAAAAAAACTCTGATTTCGCATTAAAACAATAATTTAAACATTTTTAATAGTCATCTAAGATCCATCTTCAAGACCTCGGTGTGTTTATGGTACAAGTTAATTTCGAAGCAGTTTGTACATTCATACGAGTATGAACCAGTAGTTTATGAACGTTGTAGGCTGTCTCTATTTTCCGTCATTTTTTTGTTACTATTGTGTTCAGTTTATCGTTACCTTTCATGACTTTCATGTTCCGTCAATCATTCAGCTCATTTACTCAGTTCATTAGTAAAAGGTATAGTCTATAGAACATCTAGAAATAAAATAAATAAATAGAGACTCTCCCTTACGTAGGTAATATTCTGAAGAACAAAACTGAATCTGTCTGAATACAAAAAATAGAAATGGAAAACTTTTTGTGGCTTAAAATTTTTGATTTAAATTTATTTATTTTCATTTATTCTTAAAACGAATCAAAACGGCCTGTGGCCATCTTATACTAATACATAGATACATAAGTTCAATACTTTGTGTCACAGCCGTCCAAGTATAAAATGTCTACGAATTTTGACGGGCTGATTCCCATTTTTTTAACTATACCTGTATATATACACAAGGCGTGTTTTGAAACTGTAGACAAATAAATTACCATCAGTTAGTAGATAAGCCAAATATTTGGTTTGAGATATATTTACTGCGAGACATAAACTATTGTAAAACATTAAAATTTAAGGTTTTAGTTTAATGGTAACACATAAAAATTTTAGCTTTATATTTTAATTTTATAGAGCTTTTATATTATTATTATTATTATAAAGCTTTACAATTTATTATGTTTTACCAATATTCGCTTATTATATATTACCTTTTTGTTGTTTGTTTTACCCTATATTTTTCCAGCCAAGGGAACAAATATAAAGATGTATGTTTATATAGTTTAACTAAGAATGTCTTACACGAAAGAGTAGTTTGTCTAATCTAGTATAAAAAATAAAGATTCGTTAAGGGCCAAAATTAATGAAATTATAAGATATACTCGTATTATATGTCATCATCATCATCATCATCGTTTTAGATATTTCGGGGTCACGTCGCAGTGTGTCAAAAAGCACTTTTTTTTGACAAAAATCAGCCTCGTCCACAAATTTAGATCAATTTTAATGTTTTTTTAAATGCTCAGGAGATGACTAGCTTTGAAGTTTCTGCCACATTGCCACTTTCTGATATTTTAAAACATAACCTACAAAAAATTGTTTTACTCAAAAATTATGAAATGAGTGATAAGAAAAAGAAAAAATATATTTATTTTGTTTAGTTTAACGAATAACGTACATATTTTCACATGAATAATATTGATAAAGAGAAAAGTTAGGTTTTGTGTCTCCAAATCATTATATTATTAGGCAATTTGTGTGAAAATAAATCCGTTATTCGTTAAATCTAAACAAAATGAATAATTTTATCATTTTTATCATTCATTTCATAATTTTTGAGTAAAACTATCATTTTGTAGGTTATGTCTCAAGATATAAAAAAGTGGCAGTGAGACCTCAAAACTAGTCACTTCTTGAGCAAATAAAAAAATAATCATTAAAATCGATCTAAATTTGTGGGTGAGGCTGATTTTTGTCCCTAAAAAATCTACTTTTTGACACACTGTGCGTCGGTGGAATATAGTTCCTTCTTCTACCTTACTCTATCATTAGTCATTTCACTATTACTTACTTTCTATTTAGCCATGTTCATTACCACAAAATCTAAAATCAAAAATATGAATTGAAAAGATTTTTAATTTTTAATTGAGATTATATTGAAATAAAAAATATACAAACCTTTTCTTTATCAATGACCTATCTTCAATTTTACAATAATAGAATGACTATAATTTTTTTAATGTCATATCTGACGCATCGTATATATTTTGAATTTGTCGCATAAAAGTTGTTAATAGAATGTACGTAGAATAATTGAATAGTTCTTAAATAGAAACATCCGTTTTTATTAAGGAAAACTATGAAATACAACCCACTTTGAAATTTATGTGTTTGTGTTGAAGTTACAATAAGTTCCACACATTTCAATAAAGTATATTAAAATGTATATAATTACATATCTATTTTTCTGCAATATACTCACTAAATTATTGTATTTCTATTGTCTAAATAAGAATTGAACATTGAGGCCAATCAAATAATATTATTGTTGGTATAATATTAGAAAATATTTTTGAAATGTTGTAAAAAACCCATAAATATATAAGCATGTGTCATAATGTGTACACTGTGTACAGTATTTTTTTTTCAAAAACTAATATTTTTGGACAAAATGATGTCCTAACTTAATCGTTTAATGTAATTACATTTTATTATGTATTTAAAATATTAAAGGCACTTATTAAATTTAGATACAATGGGTATTAAGTCACAATGTGTCTCTGCTAGTCCATTTGTAAGCTTGAGGACTCAGGATCTGCTGGCCTAATATCTAAGTCTCTGTATTTAAGTCTGGGATCAGTGCTATGACGGAGGGGGATGTTCTTTTTAAAGATGAATTTGATTTTATTTGAGACATAAAGTACACCTTTAACTGCGCTTGCATTCTATAAACATGATATTTGAGCTTATTAGCGTGCCTTGTAAGCATTGTTCTTCTACTTAACTGTAAAGCAGTAAGCACCGAAAAGGTTATATTTTTACGCCTAACTGGATGAAATTTCGTGACATTTCAGAAGCTGGGTGAAGTTTTTAATTGAAACGTCTATACATACAATGCAATGCTATAAGCTATCTTATATTTACATAATCATATTTTCAAAAATCTTAATGGATCTTCCAATTAATATGAAACAAAAAGAACCAAAAATTTTAATGTATGATAGAAATATGTTTCTATTAAAACAATAATTAGGTATTAAAATACTTGAGGTCTGGGTCCCTGGCTATTGAAACCAAAGAAAACAGAGCATTTTCAAGTCATGTTCAAAAGTCAATACAATTTTTGTCAGAGATATATGCAATGGTTTTAATTATGGTTTAATTCTAATTCTTATCAACAATTTCTAGAACTTAGGTTTGTTTAGTTTTATAACTATGTATAGCTATTAACATTTAAAATTAAGAATATGTTTGATTACTATAAAAAGAAAGAAGAACGAATGAGTCGTCATGGTCGAGGTCATAATTCATGCTAATTCTCTCAAACAGCGAGTTGTCTCAAAGCAGTCTC